TCTGTCTGTCTGTCTATCTATTATCTGTCTGTCTGTCTATCTATTATCTGTCTGTCTGTGTGATATATAATGCTGTAAACTAGTTATTATAAATGCTGATCAGCGTTAACATGAGGCACTCTGTATATAAACTACGTTGTGTTTGGCTGAGCACAGGAGATAATGAAGAGGACCATCAACTTTTCGTCAACGTCTAACTTTTATGAGGCTGAGAGGGACAGATGGATCGCAGAGAGGAACTGACCACCAACTCACCAAACTGGTAGAACTAGTATAAATATGATTATTACATTAGAATAAATACTATCATTTAGTTAGACATATTTAAAGCACCAGAATAAATACGGTTTGGATACGGACATTTGAGAAGCTGAAATCAGATCATGTTTATTGTTTCAGCACTTGTAAATATGTTTAAGGATACACCATCTGTCATCATCATCCGTCAACATGGTCTTCACTTTCACTGCTACGCCGATGATGTCCAGCTCTACATCTCCACAGAAGCCATTACCACTGCTACTCACCAGCTGCCTCACTGACATTAAATCATGGATGCAAACCAACTTCCTCAAACTGAACTGTGATAAATCTGACATAATCATCATCGGTCCCAAATCCCTCACTAAAACCGGTCACAACTTCTGCCTCACCATCGACAACTCCACTCTTGTCTCCCTCCCCACAGATCCGCAACCTCGGAGTCATGTTCGACAGCAACCTCTCCTTTGAACACCACGTCAAACAAATCACCAGAACTGCTTTTTCCACTTAAAAAACATAGCCCGTCTCCGCCCATCACTCTCTTCATCTGCTGCTGAAACTCTGATCCACGCCTTCATCACCTCCAGAATTGACTACTGCAACAGCATTCTTCACGGCACATCATCCAAAATCCTAAATAAACTCCAGTACATCCAAAACTCTGCTGCTCGCCTGCTCACCCATACCCGCTCCCGTGACCACATCAGCCCTGTTCTCCAGGACCTCCACTGGCTCCCCATCCCACAACGGATCCAATACAAAATCCTTCTCCTCACTCATAAAGCCCTCCACAATCAGGCCGCCTCCTACCTCACCGACCTGCTTCACCACCACACTCCATCCCGTCGGCTCCGCTCCTCTGATGCCAACCTCCTGTCTCTTCCACTCAGGACCAAGCACCGGACATGGGGTGAATCGAACCGCCTCATGTTGGAAGGGCTTCTGGTCATGAAGATGTCTTCTACAGGTATACGTGGCTGGCCTCTTGCTGTGAGGTGACAGTGCTAGCCACTACACCACTGTTCAGCCCATCATTGCAGAAAACTTGTAATACAAAAAAAAAAGATTGTCGGCGATGTCATGATGATATTGATTCCTTATTTTTTTTTGGTGTCTTCAAAATGTATTTTACTATAGATTCTTTAAAGGCTGTTTTCTGAGCCAGAATTCTCCACTTAAGTATCACTTACATATACCAAACTTTCCAGTTTCATTCCTATCTATATTCTGCAGGTTTATACAGAGGTATTTATTCATATGTAATTTATAGCCTGATTTACATAACATTTTGTTCCTAGAAAGATGGTAAAAGTAGATTTTTGTTTTCATCGTTTTCTGATTTGTGGAGTGATGAAAAGAGATATTCGTAAAAACCTTTGGCTCTGATATGTCAACAAAATAAAACAAGAATTTTTAACCTGGCTTTATTCAACATTGAGATTTCTGTTCTATAAATGTATGCAAATGAGCACTAAATAAAAGAACGGCTCACATTTTAAAATACTTTTTCAGAAAACTAGTTAGTTCATCAGGTAGTAGATTTGTGATGACCCTCTCTGAGAAGGAACCTAGTGGGAGGAGTCAGGTCATACTGAGATTCAGCTCACCTGGCCTGGCTGCAAGACTGTATGTGGCAGTCAGACAGTGTCTGTCTCCGCTGGTCTCCACCCTGTTTCACTTTGTTACATTCATTACACTTATTTACCTTTCAGTTAAAGTAACATAAATCTCTTTTTTTGTTATTTTAGCTCCCACTCATGTCAGGATTAGGAGGTGTAGCGGGCGATCAGGTCCTCTGATTCCAAGCTGTCTCAAACTAGTCCAGTCCCCCAAGCCCACCACCCTTGGCCCCAGGGCTCCATCATATATTTATATGTATATAGCAACAAAAAAGGAGGAAATAGATTTGGAGAGGACCGGTGGGCAGAATTAATTGTGAATGAAAGAGTGTGTGTATGTTGTCATTCATCCTTGCTCTGTGGATTGGAAATCAAGCACAGAGGTGAATTTATTGATGGCTGTGGATCAGGTTTGACTGAAAACAGCTGTGTTATTGTTGAGGGTGGCGGACATGTTTTGTCCAAGGATATATAATCTATTAGAACTTTTTTAGTTCAAAAGGATAGTCTCCTTGGTGATAAAGAAAACTGTGGGGGAATACAACACACAAATCATTTTACTGATACTTTAGTTACTTGGATCATAATGCCTTATTACTGGTGTTTACACAACCCCTCTTTCTGGTTACTACTATCTGTTGCAAAATGCCTTTTTTGTGTTTACATGACTTCTTCAAAATGTGGGCACAGTTGCTGTATGATTGACTTACACAAGTCTTGCAACGTCTTAAAAAAACAGGAACAATGACTATGGGGAAAAAAAGTTTAACTTAAAGATTTTTGAACACATCAATGCATCAATATTTATAATCCAGAGATATAATATGTATTATACTGCAAAGGGCCATTCTGCATAGGGAGTACACACTTGGCCAAAAGTTTTGAGAATGACACAAATATTAATTTTCACAAAGTCTGCTGCCTCAGTTTTTATGATGGCAATTTGCATATACTCGAGAATGTTATGACGAGGGATTAGATGAATTGCTAGTAAGATTGCACCTAAATCAACCATTTATCAGATCATCAAGAACTTCAAGGAGAGAGGTTCAATTGTTGTGAAGAAGGCATCATGGCGCCCAACAAGTCCAGCAAGCGCCAGGACCGTCGTCCTAAAGTCGATTCAGCTGCGGGATCGGGGCACCACCAGTGCAGAGCTTGCTCAGGAAAGGCAGCAGGCAGATGTGAGTGCATCTGCACGCACAGTGAGGCGAAGACTTTTGGAGGATGGCCTGGTGTCAAGAAGGGCAGCAAATAAGCCACTTCTCTGCAGGAAAAAAGTCAGGGACAGACTGATATTCTGCAAAAGGTACAGGGATTGGAATACTGAGGACTGGGGTAAAGTCGTTTTCTTTGATGAATCCCCTTTCCGAATGTTTGGGGCATCCGGAAAAAAAGCTTGTCCGGAGAAGAAAACGTAAGCGCTACCATCAGTCCTGTGTCATACCAACAGTAAAGCATCCTGAGACCATTCATGCGTGGGGTTGCTTCTCAGCCAAGGGAGTGGGCTCACTCACAATTTTGCCTACGAACACATGTAATTCACATGCATGTGTGGCACCCTGTACAATTGAATGGCTACAATTATTTGCACAGTTGTTATTGTATTAGTTGTGTCATTACCTTGCATTACATTTGCACCAAACCAACGCAAGATGAACTGTTTGTAAAAACTCTTTCAGAACGTTGACGTAAATTGGCATTACCTATATCGTGGATCCGGCGATCCGAAGACAAATGATGGTGGGACCTGATTTTAAAAGGGAGCACAGTTTGAAGACCACGAGATGACCAGCTTTGTATAGTCGGGTAGGTCCAAAGCAGAGATGGGCAAAAATACATCAAAATGTATTTTGATCCAAAATACAAAATACCCCTCAAATAAATGTATCAAAATAAAATACAAAATACTGGTGCCAGAAAATGTAACATGTATTTACTGCACGGCTACTTCTACTTTTGGTACTTTAAGTACACCTTGCTGATTATAACATACTTGACTAAGGTTTTGAATGCA